ATATTTTATTTCCCTTAAAAAAATCTGTTTTAAAAAAACATTAGTTAAGTATCGTGCATTCCAAATGTATTTAAGAATGTTTGCTAGAGAAAGTTAGGGTAAAACAGACAACAGGTCTAGGAGCCATTGCTCACTAAAAATAGATATAAAAAAATAATAGAAAGTCCAATTGAGGAAATTTGATCCAGTCCCATTAGAAAGGCGGATACTGTAGATCTTACTCAGGCTCTGCCCCTAATCAGCTAAGGGGGTGGAGCCAAAGAACCCGACAGGTACTTGAACCTCTATGATTTTACAATCAGCATTTCAGGTATACGAAGTATACAATCACAAATACACTCTATAACAAGACTGAACTCACATTAGCTGGAGAACTTAAAACTACATCAATGCGGTCAGTACAGGCTCGTGAAAGAAAAACATGTATAAATTTACAGTCATACGTACATAACAAAACATAATAGACATACATAAAGACACACATAGATTTCTTAGACTGCAAGTACAGTTTGTTTTTAAACCGTTTGAACAGGTTCATGCACAAGTGTCTTCCCTGTATTATTTACCTAAAGGCAATGAACTTTATGCCATTTCCCAATACATACCTGCCTTCCAGCTTCGTTGTTATGAAGGTTCATCGCTAACAGCACTTTGCTTTCTCTGCCCGTGGTGTTTCTGATGGGGAAGTCCAGGAACTTTCTGCTGACCCACATGCCGTACTGGACGTCATCCGAGCAGCCCCCCCAGTGCCAGCCTTCGCTGGCTGAGCCCCCGTTCTGCAGGGTGGTGTCACAGGAGCACTCCGTCATGTTGCCTGCGCTGCAGGACCTGGTCACCGCGTGCACCAGGCCTGCAGCCATCACCGCGTAGATAAACGCTGTTTCCTTGGTGCCTAGAATAAGACGTAAATTGCTAAATGAGAGAGGCATACGCTCTCTGTTTATGGCTCATAACAGAGTCTCCTACTCATTCTCTTGTCAGCGAAGCAATTTTTCAAAGGCTCCCAGTGGATGCTTGAATGAGTGCATATTTTGAAAGGAATATTTCCTACTGTGGTAGTCTTTTAAGAAAGCAACATTAATTTTGGGTTAATGTCCCATTTGAGGGATCGTCAGATATTGGTTATCATTGTTCTCAGACGTAAAAAGACCTAAAATATAAAATTTATGTCGGCACCTAGTTCAGTGCCTAATAGACAATCAAAGCCCAATAAATACAGGTCAAATTTAAAATCCTTTGCGTGGATACCGGTAAATGGTATACGATGCCCCCAGAGTCCAGATTACCTTTCTTTTAAAATTTAAAATGTGTTCTCACGAAACACAAGCTGAAAAATTTGGTGCAGTTTTGTTTGCCTGAGTAATACCTATCAGAAGGCAAGTTAAACTTAAACCAAGATCAAAGCAATTAGGTGATAAATGATACATGTTTAGTTTCACATTAAAGACTGTCCTTTCTTTAGAATAGCGTTAAAAACAATCCTGATATTAACCTGAAACCATTATACACTTTATAGAGTACTAGCTAATCCTCTTACAGGCTTAAAGATAATTAAAATGAAAGATCATTGAAATGTCACCAGCAAAAAAAAAAAAAAAAAATTGTTACGGAAAATAACTGAATATGTATTTAGCACACGAGCAATAGCGTTTGGGCTAACACCTTTGAAAGTTAAAGGCCTATGAAAGCATCAACAAAACGGACTCAGAGAGACTCCGCAGGCGACTTTTTTTCCCTTTCGAGATGTTTAGGTTGGAGTGGAAACAATTTCGAGCCCGTTGTCCAATAAACCTCTTCAACAGCTGATGCCTCCGCATTTCAGCAACTGTGAAGAACTCATCCTTTTTCATCCCCCCGCAGGGGGTCGGGGCTCCTTCGGAAGGGCGTGCGGCCAAAACGCAGCAGGGCCCAGGCCACGCCGGGGCGGCTGCGTGTGTAGGAACCGGGTGGGGAGGGGTCAGAGGTGCAGGGAGAACGGAAACAAATGTGAAAAACAACGAATCTTTCAGCGCCCAGGTCCTAAAACTCCTTGCATCTGCTAATATTCCTGGAACAACCCCAATTCCCTGATTATTATTATTATTATTATTATTATTTTATCTTTTTCGAGTCACCAGGCACCTGGGAGTGGAACTTTATTCACCGCAGTTTCCCGCCCCCGGGTGAGCGCAGAGGAGGGGAGAGA